TTCTCATTCTGCTCCCCCCCCCAGCCCCCCTGCCCCATGTAAAAGCCCGTTAACTTTCCACCTCATTTAGGCATGCACACCTCTAAGACCACATTATTATTCTTACTTGTACTCAGGGTTGTCCATCCATTTAGCATACAGTTCAGATGACAGGTTCAAACAGTCTTGGAGGCCCAGCCAGCACACTGTTGCAAAAAGTTTTTCCAAATACACTCTTGAAGGGAAGCCACAATAGCAAGAATAAAATATTTGCATTCCACATTTGGAGTACTTGAACTGTGCTTGCCCAGCACAATTTCAGCACACAATGCTGTTAACCCAGGAGAACCTCTACTATAAACTGTTGAAATTTAATAAAAATAAAAAATTAAACTATCAATAGTGGGTTCCTGACATGAATATTCATGGACATTAAAGAGGCTAGCAATGTACTATATTTTTTTTAGCTTTTTGTGTGTGTCATATTGCTCTTAGTAGTTTTAAGAAACTAGTTGCATCTAGTCCAAATCATTCCAACATTCAAGACTCTGTCTTCAGTAGCCTTGCAAAATGAGCTATTTCAAAGTTCTAGTGATAAATCACATCTGAAGTTCATTGCTGTCAGTTTTTCCCCAACTATCAGCAGCCTGTTGAGCCTGTTCTCCCATATACAAAAGCTATCATTCATATCATTAAACTGCCATCTTTTAGGCCCACGAAATAGACTGATGATATCCTAAACTATCCTGATACTGCCGTTTCATTGGAGGTGTCATTATAAATAACACTTATCGGACAGTAAAAGTAACAATTCAATTACATTCAAATTAAAGCAGAATACTTACTGAGCAAAATAGTCATCCTCCAAAGCATCAACGTTTTGACGAATAAAACCTGCATAATAACGGTATATTGGCAACACTCTCTTTAAAAGGTATTTCTTTCAAAAGAAGGGAAAGAAAAATTAATTTAGATGCAAGTTTTTATTTTATTATATTTTTCCTTACTTACTCAGATTTTTCCTAAAAATTTACCACTATTAGTTTCCTGACAACACAGGATATTAAACATATTAAAATAAAGTATATAAACTGGGTCTAAAATTCAATACACCTGTACATCCACTCAAACTGTGAAGTTACCATTTCACATCATTAGGACCTTTGAACTTATTATGAAAGAAAACAAATGCTCATTCTCAGAGAAAAACACAGAAAAATAAGTTTTCTCACATATTTTAAACATACCTTTGCTTTAGGACTTAAGTACTATTGTGAGATTGCACTTTAAACAAAAGTGAAATCTTCATATACAACTCAAGGAAGTAAATGACAATATTATCTCAGGTAGCTCAAATATGGGAGAGAATTATCTCATTTAGTATCCAAACCCAATTCCTTCTTTCTCTCCATGAAGATGAACTGGAAGGCAGTACAGACCACAGAGCATGTACATTCTGTATCCTCTTCATACACAGCGGTGTCATTATTTACTACTGACTATTTACTACCGATTGTAGCTGTATTTTCCGGATCCTCAGTTTTACATAAAACTAGGATCGGGCTTAATATAGAGAATGTGAATATATTTCTGATTTACAATAAGAATTCCTCATGATTCAATGATTTTTATCATTGACTAATATATACAATAAGTACCTCCTCCTATTTAAAAAAAAAGTTGACAGAATCATGCAAAGGGAATGACAAGAACTATGACCTGTCATAGTCATCATTACATTCATTTTAGTTTGACTTATTTAAATGGTCTAACTAAAAAAAAGGTGATACCTTTAAAAGTGGATATACTTCATAGTTCTTCAGAGTACTTTCCAAATTCTCGGGTACTAGGTTTAACAATACCACGTTCCATATGAAGAGTTCATCTTCTCTGGCAAGGTACTTTGTGAGTTCAAGTGCTGTTTCAATCTGAATGTATCCAAACCTATTTGAAGATTTAAAAAACTCATACTTGAGAATACCCATTCACATCAATTACCTACCACAAATTTCTGTTTGTTTATGAAACTGACAATAAAACATCAGGAAACTGCATGGAGAGTGACGTAGAAATGACATCAGAAAAATAAAATAAATATAAACCAATGGTGCCCTTAAGAGCTGAACTCTCTAAACATTTATTACAGAGCACAATGCCACTACCAAAGTACCAAGACAATCATGGCAGTAAGCATGGCAGTATGCAGACTGTATTCTGCTTGTGTTGGCAGGATACGTTACAGGCACATGTACAGCATGCGTCAGTCTCACTAGAATAAAATGAAGGAAAAGAGCACTGTTTTGAGTTATAATACATTTGTATCTTTCATTGTGGAACAACATCTTTTCATTACAGGTTCTTTTGTGGAATAAACATTATTGCAAAAATCAAACAACTGAATTCACATGCATACTGTTCTTGGAACTGAGAAGTTCAGCATGGCGTTTCTGTGCCTCAGCATATAATTAACAAGAAATTCATTTTTTCCCAATAAAATTCCAGTTCAAGCTCCTCTCCTCCCGAACAGAAACATTTCTAGTGTACTTACATAGGTGCACAGTTCTATAATTCACAGTTGCTTTTCTTATTACAAACTAGGTTTGAACTCTCTTATGAGAAAGGATGTGCACGAGAGGAGGAATGGGAATTTCTACTTCTTCCTCTCAGAGCTACCTCCACAGCCTCTGAGGTATGCTTGGCTACTTCCTCCCTGAGCTCCCACATCATAGGTCTCTGATGCTCTTGGGATCTCTGGTACATTTGAGGCACAGGCATATTCATTGCTTCTTCAGCTCTCTTCAGTACTGACCTCTCTAGCACCACAGACACGAACAACCAAGTCATCCATCAGCAAGAGAAGTGAAAGAGGTATTACGAGCAAGGCAAGACAGCATAGCTGAGATAGCCCAGAATAAACTAAGGAAAATTCAGAGTGTTCATTCAGAATCTTTCTTCTGTTACAGCAAATGTAGGTTAGTCCCTAAAAAATTCCTGATAGTGCCATTATTTAAAATACTTCCTAGGAGTTGGAAAGAAAGTTAAAAGAAATTTTGAAAGAAATCGCTCAGCACTGACAGAGGAATGGATTAAATGCTTAATTCCTCCACCATTTTGTCAAAACAGTTGTTCTTATGAGGAACATATGGGTAGGAATGAATGAAGCAGAAGTAGCTATGTTGAATGCAATCGTGTAGTGTAATCATTTTCTATGACATATTCAAAACATACTTACTGTGTCAATGCAAAACCATCATCTATCAGCTGGAACCTGCTGACAGCGGGAATAGCCTGCAGAAAGCATTCATGTGGCATTAAGAGATCTAAACATGTCAGTAAGAGTTAAAAAAGCTTTACTATGTTTCAGAAGGATAAAACAAGTCCCTAACACTTTTTCTAAGCCAAAATCTTCTACAAAACATCATAAAATGGATCCTGCATTTTAAGCTGAAATTATGTATATGCTTTTAGGGATGTTATATATATATAAAAATATATAAATATACAGCTACATAATATATCTATAAATATACAGGTACAGTACATGTATGTAGCATGGAATTTCAAGTCCACTCTTACTTGCATGCTGTAATAAAAATTAAAATATGGAAATGCTACATTTCCTAAAAATATCCTAGTTATATCATTTTGGTACATTTTTTCCTTTTGAGGCTTCAGTTCAGAATAGGTGTTCAGATTAGTCCAGAGCAGAGTGTCTGGCACTATCATGAATTAAATGACCAAGGCAGAGCCTACAGCTCGTGCTCTCATGAGGATCACTGGTCCCTCCTCCTCTCCTCCCGCTTCCATGCCCCTTCGGTTCAGCTGCTGCTAGAACAAGCCTTCCCACTGACCGGTGCCAAAAAACAGCCCCAAGTCAGCACACACCTGATTTCCTGCTGGCTTAGATTTGCTGTGAAAGAAAAAAGCCTAGAGGAAAGGGAAGCCAGTGTGCCATGGAAAGATTTAACCACACCACATGCTCTGATTGGCTTCGTGTCCCGACCTTCTGGAGAAGTCATCTAACTGCACTGATTACTATTTTACTGAAAGTTTAAACTTTCTCACCATTGTTACCAAAGCCAATGAGCTGACATTACTACTGGAACCTCTGGCTCACTCTAGGGCTAAGCAACATTAAATACAATGCAACACCATATTCAGCCACATGTATAGGCTGTTCTGTACCGTATTCACCTCAGCCTAAGCTGTAGCAACTCAGGCGTGGGATGAAATCAACTTCGAGTTATAGTGTCCATAGAGGACTGAAAGAGCCCGAGTAGAACTGATTGGAACTTCTCTTCTAAGAAAAAGCTCCACCAAAACCAAAACCAACCAAAAAACCCAAGTCAGATGATGATTTTTTTTTAAATTTCACTGGCAGAAACATTGTGCTTTGAGGAAATGTGGAAATAAAAAGCTTTCTCCCAGCTTTCCTTCTCCATGTTTATCTAACAGCAGATAAAGCTCAGTCACACTTCCATACCAATAACTCTTTGAGCAAAATTTAAGAGATTGGAAGAACCACAAGATGTTAAGACAACTTTGAAGACAGAATGCCATGTCATGTAAAGTTATTTTTCATGCTTATGTGAAACTATTTGGCCTGTTCCTTTTCCACTATGGAAGGCTGCTAGTGACTTCAGTGATGCAATGGTGGATCATTTCTTCTTCTGTGATATGTGAGTTTCTCATTATTCCAGGTTTTCATCAATCTGATTACTGGTAAGAACTGCAAGAAGAAATACATGGCAAGAATCTGTTCATAAGCTTGAGAAAACAAGTATGATCTTACCTTTGGATCATTTTCAAGCAAGCGTGCTAATCTTTTTAAGTTTAACTGATCATAGTTCACTCTGTAGTATCCACTTAAATTTACATTTAGCAGGATCCAGTCATATTCTGACTCCGATACTTGCATTTCAGGAAACATTTCTGTGAAGCGACAGTAAAATGTCTCATTTTATTTTCTGCGCACTGCTAAATTATCTTGCATGTATAAACACTGGACTCAGTGGTCCTCTGAGACCTGAGACACAATTTTGAGCTTGAACTCAAAGAGAATCCCCCTAAAGCTCTGTGCATTTTTGATCTCTGCTCTGCACAAAAGAACTTCAACCAAGCCCTCTGGTACCGACCACCTTGACATGGCAAAAGGGAGGCTGAAGACCCGCTTTGCTCCTACCCTTTAGCTTGTAGGCAGCTGGGAGAGTTCAAAAAGGTTACCCAAGCATAAACAGTCTGGATGAGGAGCAATACCCTCACATGCTTGCTGCAGGGCATGCACCCCCAGCATGCCTGCTGCTGCCAGTGCTGCTCCAAAACACAACACTCAGTACCTTATGGAAGAACTGACCACTTACCAGTATTCACATAAATGGAGAACAAGGAAAGCAAAACAGTTAAGTTTATGCAATAGACAAGTAATCAAAAAATTTTATTTTAAATAAAATAGTCCCATAGTCCTTTTGAGTTACATCACTCACTAAAGGCCTCCTTCTGCAGTCCTATTTCATCTCACTACTGCCTACTTTATGTGTGCTTGCCTGAACACTTGCTCCTGATAGCCTACAGTACATCTGAAGGAGCCACCGCAGCCCTGAAGGCTCTAAGCTGCCTCATCAGAAGAGGATTCAAATGCTGCTTTAACTGGCTATGATCATCCTGACATAACACAAATTCTCTTAAGACAATAAATCAATATTGGCGAGTAGTCTAGTCCCAGCACTGCTTTACTCCGAACAGATGACTGAAACTTCAATTTGTTTTGACAGAGCAAGTACTACAGGATTTATCCTCAGTCATCTTCACAAATTAAATGAGATGGAAAAGTGGCTTAACCATTTAAAAACTGCATGGGTGGCTAGAAGTTGGCACTAGCAGTACTCCCCCTTTAATGGCATATTGGTTCAATGCTCTGCTTATCATCAAGAGCACTTTTAGATCCAGCTAAAATAGCTAAACTATGGTCCTCCACTCCCCAGGCTGAGTGAAACATGTTCTACCATAACAGCACCATCCTCCTAGAGTGTCTTTTTTTGCTGTGCAGACATCTCACTCAGGGACAGTGACCAACACAATTACATGGGCAGCAGCTAAGTATGTAGACTTTGCCTAAGGAGCCCTAAACCAACAGGACAGGCTTTTAACACGGTACAGTGCAGTGCTGTATGAACATGCCTGGCTGCTGGTAGCAGCCCAGCTTGGAGCTCTGAGTTTAATTTAACCCATTTAGAAGATAAATTAGTGCCTGCAGAGCTCTTTGCAGCAAAAATACACATGCACAAAATCACTTCTGAGATGTTTCCTCTTTATGTATTGTTATGCCACTGCAGCAACTATTCCAAAATTCAAGTTAAAAGTGTACTTTGTACCAAATTCATTTACCAAAACCATTCTGATGAATACCTCTAAATGACAACATAGCAGTTCTCCATTAGAAGCCATTTCAATCTCACAGGAACTAAGTGGTAACTGAATTTAAAATTACCCTTTTCTACCTTTGTAAGAAACCATTTGGTTTATTTGTGCATCAAAAAGTCAAAAAGAAAATTATTATTATTTTAATCTCAAAACGTGAATGCAAGTTCCTTGACTGAATAATGTCTGGTAAGTTTGATATATGGCTTTCAAATACAAGTGGTATGTGTTTTAAAGACTGAATTTCTATTTTATCATAGTCCCTTCAGGCAGATGCATCCTGATGGGTTTTTTTAATAACTTCTGTAGCTCTTAAGTCACATGATACATGAGGAAATGGAATTGGTATCAATTCAACAGTACAAGCTTAGCACGTGACACTAGTCCTTCCAAAAAAGTGCTGCCTAACAATTCGTTTCTGCAAATGTTCTAATTTTTAACCTTAGCAATCACTGGTTTATTTAACTTTAAAGCATTCAGAGGAATAAACATCCACTGTTTCTTTATTTACTTGTGAAATGATCACTCAAGCTATCTTACTCCCTGAAAAAGAGGGAAAGTAGCATTTAGCCACTGCAAACAGAGGGTGGAGAGCTGCAATACGCACACAGCATAAACATGAGTTTCTGTATCTCATTGTAACTCATTACAAACCTGATGGAGTTCAGGGCTGACTTGCCAAAGAAAAATTATTACCCCATTCTAATGACTACATTTCTTCTTTCTGAAAAAAATATAGCTGTTTATTGGAAAGCACCGAGATGAGAAAGAATTGAATGTTGATTGGAGATGCCCATAAACTCACTTTTCCACTATAAGCCTTTAAAACTTTTTTAAAATGCTACTGTTTTGATAAGAGTATTTTTGCATTTAATTTGCATAAACAAATTAAATAGTGTTGAAAATATTCATTTTCTGTTTTTACAGATATCCATGCGTGACGATGTTGGGTCACTTCACACAGCTGGTTTTAATTTTTTCAGTCTTGTATCTACTACTTGAGCTGATAATTTTCTGATATATCACAGCTGAGATCCTACCTATACTCAAAAGCTGCCATTAACTTCAATGGGATCTGCTGGGGTAAGAATGATACAAAAGCATGAAGGGCGAGGAGTTTGGATTTGTGTACAAAATGACAAAATAAAAGTTATTGTGGAAATCTCTACTCATAATATGCATTCTATCATATTATTAAAAACATACACTGAAGTTTGATGCAACATAGAAAAAACCAATATATTAACCTATTTGAAAATCTATTGCTATTGTAACATAAAATTAACACAACAGGTAAACACAGACATTTCTGTAATGAAGTTTTATCTCCCTATTCAATTCAAATATATCTTCTGTTTATAGAAGAGTTAGGTGTGTATTTATCAGCTTGGTTTTAGCACGTGAACAAATACATTACTTACTGCTGCTTTTATCTAGCCACATTAAGGGTTGTGATGATCCATTTCTCATCCAAGAAACAGGAATAATCCATGTGTTACTTAACAAAAAAAAAAAAAAAAGAGATAATATAATTAATTCTGATGCTTAAAAAAACCCCTCTCAGCTGATGCTAAACTAGATTGCAGATGAGATCCTTCTTACAAGAATCTCCATGTACCCTCTCTCCTCTCTGATGCATAAAATCTCATCAGATGGTGGTACTTATGCTGGATCAGCACTTCGGTTCGTCAAAGATAAGGGAGTTTTAGCATCGCTTTAAACAGGCACTCATATCTAGAATATTGTTTGATGCTAGGTATTTGAATACCTATCTCTGTGCTCTGGCTCTCCTTCTTCAGGCAGTAATTTTATTCTCCTCACTTATTACACTTCACCCTATTTCTGGAGAATATAAAGCTCCTTTTCAGAAGAGTATCTACTAAAAAAGGCCCCAGGCAAGCAATACAACTGTAATTCTGACAACTGTAATTTCCTTTCTGAGGGAATGTAAAACTCCTCATGAAAACAGATGAAAGCGTCAAAACCCTAAAAAATTCTGTAATACATGTCCTGGATTTTCTTACATTCACATGGTATTGCCTCTTGCTAACTACAGTAAAGGACTTAACATTTGTAACTTGGAACTCCTTATCTGAGCTAACTAAAACTGCTGAATGGACTAACGCTCTGCAATTCCTGGACCCTGGGAGCAAAGGAAACTCTGTGGTTCTCGTCAAAATTTCTTTTGGCTGTTTGTATGACCAGCAATAGCAGCCAGGGAAAAAACTGTTTCAGGTTTTGCTCTCCTTTATACTTTTTCCCTGTGTGAGAACTTGTCTTATGGACCCTGTCCATGCATCCCAACGCTCATGACAACTGCTGAATATCATGAAAGTTCAAACTCTAACCATGAATTTCCAAAGTGGGTGACCAAAGGCAGCTCCTTCTATCCTAGGCATCTAAATAAGCAGCGCAGCTTTCAAAAGCACCAGGCACTCAGCAATGCTTACTGACAGGAACTTTAGAGCTGCATGTAAGGTATACTCGGCACTTTCTGAGAAAGGGGTTATTTATATAAGTACTTCAATGCAATCCCTTTATCCTTGCCGAGCAGAAGACACTGGGAATATGTGCACTGGAAAGAAGATACAGCACGGTTCATCCAGGTTCCCAGTCCATACAAATGAAGGATGAGGAAAGAAAAAAATGCCAGGCAAAAGTCCCACCCTGCAACCTATTCATGGCCTGTGTCTGTCCTTACAAAGCCATTATGTGGCTGGAAAAGTCACTACTCCAGAGGAAAGCAACCTTTTGGCAAAACAAGAAGCTCACAGAACTATTGCAAACTCCAGCCTCAGATTTTACTTGACAGCTCGTGACAAGAAAAAACATAAACTTAAGAAATCAGATGGTCAAAACGTGTCGTAACTGAAGAGTTTCCCGCAAAAAATAGGATATAAACATACAATAAAAACACAAGCTAAACATACTTGTAAGAATCAGTACTGTTTTCATTCTTTTTATTAAGAAATTGTTCCTGACTGATTGTGCCTGTGGTTACATTTAATGTTAAAACCGGAAAACCATTTTGGCACGTCCAGGAATCCATTACTTGTTTTACAGATGCTGGCAACTGAACTTTGTCCTGTGCATCTACGACCTGCAAGAGAAACAGAAATTAGAAATACTTACAACAAACAGGGACTTACTGATATTTCTTAGCAACAGTCTAGGGGTTGTTCTAACATATTAGAGAACATATAACTGCTTAGCAGTTTGGTGATCCATGCAAAAAATCAATGTAACAAAATCCAAAGGACATTATTAACATTATAAGAAAGACGGCATAAGCCTCTTTAGGAATTATGAAATACTGAGATGACATTTCTCATTCTTATAACCTGACTGCTAACCTTTCTCTTTATAGTGTTAATATACTTACACCCGTGCATCACTATGACAGACTTGATTTGTTAATTCCACTAAATAAAGCTGCCAGAACACAAAGATTTTTAAGTGACTACCTAGTGAACAAACTGAATAGTAAAGACAAACTAAAAAAGATACTAAGCTCAAGTCCCAACTAGTGTGAAGTGGTACAGTCAATGTTGGCTTAAAAGATGTGGCAGCCTTGCATATCTGAAATTGTGGCACTCTCATTCTTAACCCAAGACTGAGTCTGCAACACAGTGGAAGCCTTCTTTAGAGGAAGAGGAAAGTGAAATTTTTAAAAATAAACCTATTATTAGCACCTGTTTTCTTACTCAGATTTGTGCCAAAACCAGGAAAGTGTGAACTGCTGAGCTACTGCCCTGTGTATAGACTTTGCTGGATCTGTGACATATCAGCACCTTTGATCATCAAGCCCAGAGCATCACACACTCTGATCTGGCAGAACTTAAGCTCCAGAAGAATAGGCTATGCAATTTCATGTAGGCTTAGACGATCTCCATGAAACCCCAAATTCCACCTGGCTCTGATTTCCCATCTCATCTCTCTACTCCTTGTACTTAGCTCCAGGTACTGATCTCAGGTGCAGTAAAGCAGCCAAATAAACACTTGTGAAGGAAATCATTAGCCAAAAGAGCCAGCAAAGCAAATCTTATGCAAGAGGAGGACTGCACTAGGGATAGCCACATTCCAGTGCAGTCTTCTACAAATAGTATATGCCCTAAATTTGGACTGTGCCAAACAACAGAGCAAGAATACTAGAGATAAAATGAGTACCATCTGTATGTGGGTCCAGAGATCATCTTGGTTAGCATTTGAGAAGGAAAATTGTCTCAGATATGACTGTAGGGCAA